GTAATCCGCACAAGATGCACATATGCTAACAAGATACTGACCAATTGTAGTCCTAAACGTCGATGAAAAGATTCGAACAACTGATACAATAATGAATATAGCTCATAAGCTGAAATAAAAGCTCATCACCTATCTGATGAGATGAAGTAAAAATACTGCATTTATAATTTTAAAATAGATATTTTTATATCACTTGCAGTCAAGAATATTTCATAAGAATCCAACATAATTTCGATTTAGTTGAAAGCTTTTTCGTGAAGGTATGTTTAATATATGAACTGTATTCGCTACAGATCAATCTCAGTCGTTACCGGCGGAGTTCATATATACCGAGAGTATTATAGCTGTAACCAATAACACTAGATGACCATCACGCCATATCGCGAATCGGTTGAAGCTGAAACTATACCAATGAAAGTTGATCCACTTGTTAAGCGTTCTCAACAACGCCTAAAGTTCTTAGGTTCTGTGACGTCCTTGATCTGTCTACCCAATAATATACATGAGAGAACTTGTCTCAATATATGTTGAGGCCGTGACATGATAGGCTAATTGGATTAACCATGAGGCTAGAAATGTGTGAGTCCAAATTGAGCCTAACGACTTTGGACAGAGAGACTAAAACTATTTTACCATCTGAGTGGTCGACGAAAGAAAGAGTCAAGACGAGTCAACTGGAACACTACTCGATTTATTCCTGAACCCGATTCAGATTAGAGAAAAGAGATACATGAATAAATATATGAATAACAGGACTACAACGCACAAACAATTAGAAGAATACAATTATGTACAAACTGGGCATTAGGGTAGAAAAATAGAGTACAAAAGATTACTTTAAAGCAATTAATCCCTTTGATAAATTTCGGTGGTGTAATAAGAAGATGAAGATTATCAGAACTATGTGTTATATTAGCGTAATACATTTCGAACAACATCCATCATCCTCTATTGACAAACATGGAGAGACTCTAATTTATGGACGACCTTTGAACGAATCTTAGGTGACGTTGAGAAATATTGGCCAATCAGTAAACAGTCAGTATAGAGTAAAAATATATTATACAAAACAAAGGAAATAAAGTGCATACACTTCCTACACATGGTTCAAAAACTTGTCAAGGTTAGAAAGAGGTTCAGAGGTTCTAAAATCGTAATGCATGCAGTAAAGGGAATCATCCATACGGCTACAGAATAGTCAGCCTCTGGAGGCATAATAAAGTCTCAAATACTCTTTCAGCCTCGACCACATAGCTTCAATGTTGTTTATGTGCAGTCCGGTTGTTGAGTGCACAAAATGCTACTTGTGGATAACGACATGATACAAGTCTATGTAGGAGTCTGTACGCTCTAAAAACATCCGTATATATTGTAGTACCTGGCTGCAGCCAGTGTTACTGGTGTTTTTATTATCCAGTCCGCGATAATTGTCGTAAGTTGCCTTAGCTAGGAATTATATATGGGGTTTTCATCACGAACTGACATCAGCTATAATGCCAGAAATTTATTTAGCCAAATGGATAAAAGGCTTTCGCGTTTAAATCCGAGATCTATTATCTTATACCTGATTGATTCGTCCACAAATTATAGTCCCGCCGTTTTATTTGTTATAACCGCTCAATTATCATGTTTTGTACAAATTTCCCTGTGAGCCGATCACACGTTAGCATTAAGCACTGAAGTTGGCGCCGTGACTTTGAAATCTCTAAAACGCCTCTGATTGGCTCGTCCATATATTAGTGTCTCGCCATATATATAGATAAATTAATGGTTAACATTTCTAGTAACTAAAGTAAATGTTATAAGTAACATAACATTTGATTACTGAATAAAACCCTAAGAATAAAGCTTTATTTAATATATACAATAGTTGAATAAACTGTAGAATGGTATTCTGTATCGTTGTTCACAAATAGGGAATAATATGATATGATATGGTCTAAGTTTTTCTAAATTTATGATTTCTCAAAATAACAAATGAGGCATCATCATGAAAATCCAATTATTTTCTTTTTTTATCTAGTTGTCTTAATTCAGTGACACTTAAGTATACAACTAAGCAATTTTATCACTAAATTTCTGATCAACAACTTTTACGGTTCAATACCATACAAAAAGAAAGACAGAACGTATTCCCTAGTTGATAATAGTTACTAAATTAATACACAAATAGATTTTTAGGTTCTATTATGTCTCATTTAACTTTCCTCAAGCTTCATGATTTCATCTTTGCCTATATAAAGCCTATATAAAGATGAACACCAGATTCATAACAGTGGTTATGAATCTGGTGTTCATCTTGTTGTGCTGATGCGGTATGGCAACCTGGACCGATGCACATATGTGCCTGATCCTACGTTGTAGCTGACTGACTGACTGATTGATATAAGGCAGAATTCATAAGGAATCCAGATAAATAATACTAATCTTTACAATAAATAAGAATTCCTTACTAATGATTGTATATTTTAAAGAGAAAAGTTGACTGGAACCATATAAAACATTTACACATTACGAATTTATGATCATCTACAATGCTCAATACAGATGAAGCAGGAAGAAGGAGGTTGAACTGAGAGAGAGAGGAGGGGTTCAGATGAGTACTTCACAAATATGAAGATTTATATCACTTGTAATTTGTTTACGTGACTGATCAATACTGGTTCAGACATATAATATGTTTGCTTTTTTCTAGTAATCATTCATCAGAAATAATGTGTACCTATAGTTAAACACTAACAAGAGAAACTCTACATATCTAACCTCAAATCTATCACATTTTTCAGAGACTTGTATATTTCGTCTTTTGTTTATTCAATGGTACTTTCTGATCTCTTTATTACACATAGTGCTTTAGAAATGTCGTCTGAAAATATTCCTAATTAAATGTACAACAAAACACAGAATGTGCATGAAATAAACAGGAGGTTTGTATTATCTTTTGTGTTACTTACTAATGTTCAGTAGTCTATAACAAAAGTCTAAAAAAAACATGGGGTGAATAAATTGATGTTGTTTTAGTTGTATTTTCCGATTGTTATTTAGGACTGCAATTGATCAGTCTGATGTTGGCATATATGTATCCTGTGCGGATTTCCTCGATATAGCTAGGATGCACAACAACAATTCAATTTAAATTTCACCACATTGCACATGTAGGTGACTATCAGGACTCAGTAGCTAAGTGGAGAACGCGATAGCGTTTGAAGCGAACGATACTGGGTTTGATTCTCGGGATGATCATCAACTCTGGGATGTTGATACATCCAGCTGACGAGTCCACTGCTAGCCATTATCCAACATAGAGTGGATGTTTCAAATTGCGAAAGTAATTTGTATTAACGAAGAATATTCTTTTCAATGAATTTCTCATTAGGTTCTACAATGATCATATGCGAATTAATAATCCATAAAACTGACTAGACTTAAGGTAGAGTACATCATTTAAAATTTTAATATGTAAATCAAGGATTTTTGTTTGTTATACCGTAGAACTAGAGGCGACTTGATTACAGTCTTCAAATTGCTTAGTGATAAATTTGCACCTGATATGCCCTCATTTTTCTTGTCTTCCAAAACAGAGAATTTACGAGGATACTCCAAAAAAGTTCACAAGCCCAGAACAAATTACTTGTCAGCTGACTATCGACTTTCCCATCGAATCATTAACGAGTCGAATGCAGGTGGTTGAGGCTCCATCTGTCGACTCTTTCAAAAGAAAGTTGGATCAACTGAGAGACCACCATTGCCAGAAATAACATAGGCCATCAAGCCTCCTACCCTTTCCTTTTCAAACTGATATTGTTAATGCTGGGACTGACTAATATGAAGTATTAACTTGAATCCGTTTATAAGTCACAATAAATATGATCAACATGGGGTGTGAGAGAGAATAATGTAATTACATATCAGAAATTACGTATGTATGTAGAATAATATGAATTAGGTCAGATATAGTAGATAGGGGTGGATGCTGAATAAACATCTCAAAAAGGTTAGCTAAGTGTAATAATAATAATAATAAATAATGAATTTGGGACATAAAAATGAGCATTAATCAAACTATGCCACCATATTATAAAATTGATTATTAACTACTTGGCCTTGAAGTTGGCCAGGGCAAAAGGAGGGGCTGAACATATTTCTTTTAGATACAAAGCTCTGGCTCTTTGATCCGAATAACAATTGCTTCAGCCGTTTGCAGGATTCTCAGTCTGATGGAATTAGATAAACTTCTATTAACACTACATATTATTGCACAAGATTACTCTATGTTGGCTGTATGTCCCATCTAAATTAAATGAGTTAAAATGAAGCTGTTAACCATTTTGACTACACTTTTTCTCAATCATATTGGGAGGTACTCAAGAGCCCGAATATACAAATCCCTAGAACATCTTCCAATATAACTTGTTCTACAGGAGCAGTTGAATTGATAAATATAGAAAGATATGGTTAGGCTGGGCAATTTATCTTTCAACCTCATAGTGATCATTGGACGTGTGGAAAACATTAATTGTAGTTCACGTGCATTAAAAGCGGAACCTGATGAGAAATTATTGAAAAGAATATTTTTCATTCATATAGTTGTGTTTTAGTATAATGGGAATTTAGTTAGAAAGTAGTAATACCATCATTTTGTTCTGTTTATAACTGGATTAAAATAGAACCATTCTTAAGCAATAGTATTATTATTCTGCTTAAAAATTATCGGCAATTTTATTGTCAAGAGCTATGGAGTGAATATGTATAAGGGAGACCCAGAAAATTCCTCGAAAAAAGCACAAAAAAGTCCTGTAAACGCTGAGAAACATCTTATCCAATCAGTATTCAATAAAGGTGTCTCAGAAACATCTAGAAGGTGAAAATTCACGTGTCACATTTCTGAATGGGTTTTCACCTATCCTGCTACAATATTTAGAAGGGCCCAGGAAATTTCTAGAGGCCTAAAGCCACCTGAAATTCTATAAATACCCTCGATTTTCTGTACATAAACTAACCTTGGAGTAAAGTGTTCTTCCCATATTTCGCGCCTTTTCTCTCGTGTTCAGGTCGCCGTGTGGATTTAGTCTGGGAGTTCAACTGGAAGATTTATCAATATGAATCACCATACCAACCAAATAAAGAAATATGAGAGATCAGTAGTATGTGAGACTAATGGACCAAAAACAGAATGGCATATTCAAGTGTTTTGATATAATTTCACAGGGTAGATAACCACCAGTTGCTATGATTAATAATGCGATATGATTACAAGCGATAGTATGTTAACAAAACGAATATACGTTTTAATGGACGATGTTAGAATGTCCCAAATTTAGAAATCTGAGATCAAACTAGGACCATGGCAACAAAAACGGTTTTGTAAGCCACTCTCTTGTATACAAACTTAGTTGAAGATTGCATGAATCTAAAGCTTCCTCATCAAGAAGACACATACATATACATTTTGTTAGACTACCTTTGGCTTTATCAATATTATTGAACAATGAGCTTGATGCAACATAGTGACCGCCAACTACTCATTGAGAAATGGATGGCCTTATTTTTCCAGATTCTTCATTTAACGAAGTACATTGGAAACGAACCATCATATTTTTAATGTAGCTCGATATACTATACGGTGTTTTATTGAATGTTGTGTAAAGATTGGTAAAAATTTACGGATGGTATTCATCATTCATTAATCACATTTCAGATCTATTGATAACCAGCTGTTTCATCCTCACATGAAAAGCCCTGGAAATGTGCAACTTCCATTTCACCACGGACTGAGACCATTACCTTATGATCTGGCTTAATTTGTGCAACTGGAAACTCACCCAATGGTTCTAATGGTTCAGTATTTGCAACATCTGAATTTGCTTGGTTCGACTCCTGGTGAGGTTATGGATATGCACTTCTGACTTTTATACCAGAAATAAATAACTATCTAATACTCTTGAGCTTTCAAACATACTCAACTGAGATCAATCTGTGAAGAAATATAGCCTGTAAACTGAACTAATCTCCACGAAATTCCTCCAACTAAGCTATAACACGACATTTTTTTACAAAAATAAACATTCTTATTCCATAAACTTCGTTTACATGATATTGAAAGTAGAGTAAAATATCTCCATTTTTTAAAAACTGGATACAATAATACTGTACTTAAGTATCCTACCAAGTACGTTGTCTTAGTAATAAACCCTACATATTGGAAATTAGTACGTCAGTACATTTGCGTGAAAGTTCTTTAACAGTTTTTTTTGTGATATTTTGAAATTTTACTTCTATTTTCAACTAGATTGTCAATAGTCTTTGAAGCCAGAAAAACAATCAATTAATAACCAATTTCAGTCGTTTATATTTGTATTATCTAAAAGGTAACCTTTAACTGTCTTTTTTTGTTTCGTTTGACTATAGTTAATTGTTGATTATTTTAATTGTTTTTATAATATGTTCATTGTGTCCATAATGAACGAAGACTTGATGAGAACAACCGATTTATTATTCAGTCCAAACAATACCAAGTAAATTTCAATTTTGCCACATTGCACAAGCAGGTGATTATTAGGACTCAGTAACTAAGTGGGGAACGCGGTGATGTTTGGAACGGACTGTACTGGGTTCTATACAGGGAGTAAACATAAACTCGGGGATGCGGATACGTCCAGTTGAAGAGCCTCAAATAGAACTAAACGCATGTCTTGGATTCCACTGCTAGCTACCATCCATTTTTGCTTATGGAAATTACAGAGTTCATTGTAAAATGTGAAAAACCATACATTAAATACTTGATTCGCAATTCTTCAATCAATTGTCTCAAACTTCATCGTTCCTTTATTGCTATTACAATTACTCTGTGTTTGCATTCCCGTTCTCTTCAATTCGATCTTCACGACCTTCTACTACCAGACATTCCACTTCTGACTGAGGTTACATACTACTTATGTTGACAGACATAAGTAGCATACACTAAATACTTACTGAGCTATCCTTCGATAGTTTTTTTTGTTTTCAGTTCTCGTTTTTTATTCATAGGAATGTTATCAAAAAAGTTATACTTTTCTCTATATTACCCTAGAAGCAATATGCTTATAGGTTGAAAAGAAAACGAACCAATAACTGAATAATAGAACATCATTTAAGTAGACCGTAATATGTCTAAATGTACTTTCAGTTTAAAGTTTTTAGGATTATGTAATATCTTGTTTAACATATTTCCAGCAGAAATTACAAAATTATCTGATGCCCTAACGAGTTACAGTTCATTGATTATTACATTTTTCATTATAATGAATAATGAAGGCTTAATTAGTTATTAGGATGTTTTTAATCAGCTTATTCCAATTTCTAAATATATCCTATTTCAAACCATAATGGAAAATGGCTACCCAGAACGGTTCATAGAAAAGAATATGAATACAAGTAGTTGTGACAAGAAACCTAGTTGCTCCGTTACGAAGAAAAACCTTTATATAAGTCTGTAATTTAAAGGTGATCGAACATCAGAAGTAATCAAAAATCGTCTAACAACAACTATTAGAAGAACATTTAATGCAGCTAAATTGAGAATAAACTTCACGAGTAGGAACTTATTTTCCGTGTCCATAAAAGACAAGCTTCCGCGTCTGGTCGCCTCTATGTGCATCTACCAGTTCACTTGCTCTTGTGGAGCAAGGTACATTGGCCGTAGCCAGCGCTCGCTTTCAACTCGGATACGGGAACATATTCCAGCTTGCTTCTATAAGGGGGAAAGGAAAACAGTTAGGATTTCTATACTTGAACACCTAATCGACTGTAACCATTCCGCAGATCCATGAAATGAATTTAAGGTTGTTTAAATGATTCGGTCAAATCTACCCACATTTCTTCGCATCCAACTTTTAAAAATAGCCGAAGCTCTTACTATCCAGGAGCTTAAACCAGAACTATGCGTACAAAAGAAGTACGTCTTATCGTTACCTTGGCCTTAAGTATTTTGATTATCCAATTATTATTATTATTATTATTATTATTATTATTATTATTATTACTGCATTCTCCCCTTTACTTACATCTTATATTCTCATTGTTTCATATCATTTCTCTTGGTTTTTCTTTCAGGAATGGTTATAAAATAGTTTATCAGTAAATAAACACATATTTTTGATAACCCGACCGTTGTTGCTACCTTGACATGGTGGTCGGGCTTGCCTATCGTAATGAACCAATCAAACTATACTGGCTGGAACAATCGTTCCTCAATGTCCTACCATGCCATACAGGTCGGTTAAAGAGCGGTAAGGAAAGTATCCAACTATGTCACAAGGTAAACACTCACTTGTAATTCACAAATTCAAAGGAGAAGAGAAAGACCAACCAACACATTACACCAAGGAATGGAGACAGGCATGGAAAGAATGAACAATAACTGGATGGAACTAGAAAGGAAAACCCAAGACAGAGTGGATTGGAGAATACTGATCAATGACCTATCCTCGATTGGGAGTAACAGACGTAAGTAAAAATTCACAATCAAAGATTTGTTAATAAATAATGCAAACGTTTTCTTTATAGATACACAAGAAAAACATAATAATAACAATAATAAATACTCTAAATGCAAATTGTATTATCTATTAAAATGGGGGGTTTTTTTCTCTCTCGTAATTGTTTCCCTTTACAATCAAAAAAATCAATCAATAAAAAGAACAACGAAAATAATAGTCAACATTAACTAACTTAAAGGTATTCTTCTTTCTCTGTTATATAAGATAAATTCTTTCCAAATGTTTCCCTTTTTATGAAAAGAAAATGTAATAAACTAATTATTCATTTTCATTGAATTGTCAATTCAATATACAAAAAAATAAAAAATAAAGAAATATACACATATGTATAGAAATGTGTTATTGTATATATGATTGAATTGAATACACTATGAACTGATTCCATTATAATTATGATCTATATTAGTTTATTCTTCTATTTGTTTGTTTTCTTCTTGTTATTGAATACTCTCATAGTTTAACAATCTCTGCTATCGGGAATTTTGAAACAGACATTAAAAAAAATTGAACAACAATCGGGAAGAATTGTTCAGGATAGAGTTCGATGAGTGAATCCTGGTAGGCGGCCTATGCTCCTTTATGAGGTGTAACAGGTGTAAGTAAGTAAGTAAGTACGTAACAATCTCAAGATAGAAATATACAAAGTTCATAGAAATCTATACATAATTTTTTCTATACAAGTTTAGTATAAATAACTACAGGTATAGCTATGAATAAATACATTATACTTATTAATAATACAATACAGGTAATATAAGTAGTATATATCGATAATGATAAAATAATTGAACTAAATTTATTAAAACAATATAATATGTATAATGAAATTGTTTTTTAATTGAATTAGCTGAATTACATTTATCTTTATTACAAAAACATAAATGACCAATGGATGATCGTGATTCAGCTATACAAACTAAATATTTCTCCATTTTCATATTTAAACTTGTTGAACAATTTCGTATTAAATGTTTCTGTCCATCTAGTTGAATAATAAAAGAAAAACAACAACAATATTATATGCATTAATATTTATTGACAGACTATAAAATATTTAAAATTACTAATAAGTAATACTGTAGTCTGGGTTACTTATATCCATATAAGTAGTATATAACCACGGTCAAGCATAGAATATATTTCTGTAAAAGATCGATAAGGAAAGAACGGGAACGGATACAATTGGTATAAAAATGCATGAATAATGAAATCTAAGATAATGGACTGATATTTACAAAAGGAACAGTTATGTTTAAGGCGATGGATTGATATTTTTCAAATTAACTATTTACTATATGATTCTCAAATTTTAGTGAAATGCTCGATTGTCCGCACCCGGGTTCTTATTCACCCCAATAATTGGGAGTAATGAAGTTTTTAAAACTGTTTCATAGAGAATTATTGTATATGTTATCGTATTTTCATCATATAACTCTTATTTTAAGCCATCATTTGTGATATATTTTACTGTTCTTAGACTATCGTTAATTCATTATAAACCTAATGTTTAGTTTTATACTACATATGACTTAGTTGTGATTTCTTATTTGTAATGTATGCTGTGGTCATATAATTGAAGTATATAATCCTGTGAGTTTTGAGTCAGAAGGAAAATACAGAACAATATAACAATAGAAGACAACTCTGGTCGCTATCTTCACCTTCTGACTGGCCACTGGGAATAAGAGGAACTAATGATTTCCGGTCATTGTTCATGGCTATTTTTGTCATTGTTTAATGGAAAATCGTTGGTTCGATAGACAAACAAGTCATTGGTAAATTTCTTATTGTCAGATGACCCGATCAAGATAACGAGAAAGAAGTTCTAATTTCATAATAAATACACTGTAAATTAGTGATTAGAGATAATCAGTAAAATGTACCACCAGTAAATTGTATCAATAATTTTGAGGGAACTGATACTTGAACTCGGAACACTTAGTGGTGTAATCGGAGACTCTGCTATTGAGTATTTACAAAAACAGTAAAATATATTAAGAAGGAATATAGAAATTGAAAAACATCATGCACATTACACGTATCATGTACCAGTTAAAGTAAAAACTGAAGTTGTCTGGATGGATATGGGGGAGAAAAAAAGTATTAAATATGGGGTTTGACTAACTCTTTTGAATATTTTTGACTTCTATAGTGTATGGAAAAAGTATATTATCAATGAATGAGACATTAGTCAAAGTATAATAAACGTATAATTCATAATGACAAGAGGTTTGATGTAGATCGGATATATATATATATATATATATATATATATATATATATATATATATATATATCAAGACCTCTCCATTGTCCCCCTGTTCATTTTCTCAACTGTAAAGAGGATTCGAAAATGTTACAATAAACCCATAGAGTCATATATTCAATAAAACGTCTTTATAGAAGTAGTCGAATAGAAAATTACGCTTAGAACTAGTGAAACTAAAAAACCTGTCTTCTTTTTCTGAAATTAACAACGTCAGTTGAGAAATAAGCTATTATGTATTTGTACAAATATATGTACCCGTATGTATATATGCCTTCGTTTGACTAAGTAGGATACATAGAAAAGGTTAACACATAGACCTTCGGTCTTATATCGTTAAATAAAAGAAGCTTGAATTTTAGTGTGAAACATCATCTTGTTCTACTATACTCTATAACAAGTTTTCTACGAATACCAATCAAGAATATCAAGTAGTATACGCTAGTTTTAAAGTTGAGGTATATTATAACTTTAAAAAGAGCAAGAACAAAGATTGGTGCAGAATAATATGAATTCATTTTATTTCGTTAGGTTCTCATCAGCTGCTTACAACCTAAAATATTTGAAATTCAACATTATTACAGATATTGACATACTTATACAACAGAGGGCGATGAAGGATGAATATATGCAACATAATGTAGCAAAGATTTCGTTAGAGTTAGTGAGGTCATAAAAGTTTTTGTTTTGAATATATAGAGTTTGGGAGGGAAAGTTCCAGAAAATTGAGATAGTGATTAGAAATCATGGAATTAGAACACATTAGACGATTATGTAATGAATTAACTGAAAATAGATTAATGTTAATAAATAGAGATATGAATTGAAATTGGTCAGTTATGAATGACGTAATAAAATTCAGAAAGAGTTAGAATGACGTAATAAAAATAAATAAAAATAATAGTGAAAGGGGGATTGGGTGAATGTTACCAGGGCAAAGAGAGATTTATTACTGTTTCTTTTTGTATACAAAGATCTGGTTTTAAACGTTTGATTGCTATTGCTTCGGCGAATTTCAAAAGGTTTGAATTTGATTGTTTGTTGATCACCTTGAAGGACTTCAGTATATCGACTTCATGTCCTGTGTCAAGGAGATGTCTTGCGACAGCGCTGCTAAATGCTTTTAGTCCGTTTGATCTCAAACTCTTCGGAATATGTTCTTTGAATCGGACGTAGGCTCTCCTTTCTGTTCTATCAATGTAACTGCTTTGGCAGATACATGTAAATTTGTATACACAGTTGGTGGTAACATGAAAGGGATACCTGTCGACCTTCGATTATGTCGAAGAACATGTCGTTTTGGACAGGACAATCAATTTAGCTGCAGGATATGTTTTTGTCAATGCAGTTTTTAGTCTCATATTGATTGAGCCTGTGACATTATCATCTTTGAATTTGAGTTGAATAAAAACAGGTTTTTTATTTACCGTAGTTTCTTTGGGTATTTTAGCTTCACGTTTTCCATATTTCCCAATAAATCTCGATGGGTATCCATTATTTCTTAAACACTTTTTAACATTCATAATTTCCTCTTCTATTGTATTGGCAGTACATATTCTTTCTGTTCTGTCAAACAGTCTTTTTATAATTGATTGGACAAAAGCTGTTGAAATTGAGATAAATACCATTCCATGTGTCTTTCTTATAAACTGAGCGTTGAACTGTGCCATCCTTTCTTCGTTTTATCGTTATGTCGAGAAAATGGAACATGTTTTCTTTTTCATGTTCCATAGTGAAATGAATATTTGGATGAGCTTTATTGAAAAGCCTTAACAGATTTGTCGCATGTTGTTGATTATTACATAAGATGAATGTATCATCCACATACCTCGAATAATACATCATCTCGTCAATCGCTCCTTTGAGTTTGGTTCTTTCGAGGTTAGCCATGAAAATGTCTGCTAGGACGGGGCCTAACGGACATCCCATTGCTGCACCATCGGTTTGTCGGTATATAGTATTGTTGAATTTGATCTGAACATCTTTTGTACACAAGAGTAATAGTCGTTTTAATTCTATTGCTGGTAGAGGTAGGATATCGGGATGTTGACAAATTATGTCTATGGTTTCAAGAAGTGGTATTTTTGTAAACAATGATGTCACGTCAAAAGAAACCATAAACTTATCAGCAATATTTATGTGATTCATGCTATCAGCATCTACAAAGTTACTGGTTGAACGTTTGAGGACAGAAATTAATCCCTTTGATGAATTAGTTGACGATATGAGTATCGTATGTCGCATAAAATTTATCAATTTTATCCAAGCATTGCAAAACAAAATAAGCAAGAACTTTCACGAAACTTTGTTCAAGACTTTATCAAAGGAACAACTTTGCTTTGGTTTCCCTGAAAACCCTGAAAATTCTATCAACAATCTATCAACAGTGAAGTTAAATCAGATAGAAACAGAAGCCTTGTGTCTTGAATTTAAATTTCATATCCCCAAAACACATGCCGATAGAATCGACACAGAAACTCAATTTGAGAATTTATTTGATCAAATTAAAGAGTTGCACCCAGTTTGCGAAGAAAAGAAAGGCTGGTTAAAATCTAAACTAGTCGATATCGCAAACCAATACCTCATCTCAACCACACCGCAATCTAAGCTTTTATCCAAAGACCACCTAACAGCATTACGAAATATTAAGCGAAATGATTATATAATGATATTACGGTGAGATAAATGTTCAAGTGTTGTTCTAATAAACACAACAGATTATGTCTCTAAGATGAATTCCATTTTGAGTGACCATACGAGATTCAAGTTGGAAAAAAGTAACAAAGACTTAACTGACTCCACTGAGAAAAGAATCACAAATGTACTCAGAGACCTACTAAAAAAGAAAATGATCGATAATTCTACTTACAATAACCTACGACCTCGTGGGTCTCGTTTGCCCCACATGTATGGCTTACCGAAAATTCATAAACAAGATAATCCTCTTAGACCTATTATGTCAATGGTCAATTCACCATACCACAAAGTTGCAAGATGGCTGGCAGATAAATTAGAACCACTTCGTCAACGATTAGCCACTTATACACTGAAGGATTCATTTGTATTTGCTGATAGCATGAATCACATAAATATTGCTGATAAGTTTATGGTTTCTTTTGACGTGACATCATTGTTTACAAAAATACCACTTCTTGAAACCATAGACATAATTTGTCAACATCCCGATATCCTACCTCTACCAGCAATAGAATTCAAACGACTATTACTCTTGTGTACAAAAGATGTTCAGTTCCACTTCAACGATATCAAATACAAACAAACCGATGGTGCAGCAATGGGATGTCCGTTAGGTCCTGTCCTAGCAGACATTTTCATGGCTAACCTCGAAAGAACCAAACTCAAAGGAGCGATTGACGAGATGATGTATTATTCGAGGTATGTGGATGATACATTCATCTTATGTAATAATCAACAACATGCGACAAATCTGTTAAGGCTTTTCAATAAAGCTCATCCAAATATTCATTTCACTATGGAACATGAAAAAGAAAACATGTTCCATTTTCTCGACATAACGATAAAACGAAGAAAGGATGGCACAGTTCAACGCTCAGTTTATAAGAAAGACACATGGAATGGTATTTATCTCAATTTCAACAGCTTTTGTCCAATCAATTATAAAAAGACTGTTTGACAGAACAGAAAGAATATGTACTGCCAATACAATAGAAGAGGAAATTATGAATGTTAAAAAGTGTTTAAGAAATAATGGATACCCATCGAGATTTATTGGGAAATATGGAAAACGTGAAGCTAAAATACCCAAAGAAACTACGGTAAATAAAAAACCTGTTTTTATTCAACTCAAATTCAAAGATGATAATGTCACAGGCTCAATCAATATGAGACTAAAAACTGCATTGACAAAAACATATCCTGCAGCTAAATTGATTGTCCTGTCCAAAACGACATGTTCTTCGACATAATCGAAGGTCGACAGGTATCCCTTTCATGTTACCACCAACTGTGTATACAAATTTACATGTATCTGCCAAAGCAGTTACATTGATAGAACAGAAAGGAGAGCCTACGTCCGATTCAAAGAACATATTCCGAAGAGTTTGAGATCAAACGGACTAAAAGCATTTAGCAGCGCTGTCGCAAGACATCTCCTTGACACAGGACATGAAGTCGATATACTGAAGTCCTTCAAGGTGATCAACAAACAATCAAATTCAAACCTTTTGAAATTCGCCGAAGCAATAGCAATCAAACGTTTAAAACCAGATCTTTGTATACAAAAAGAAACAGTAATAAATCTCTCTTTGCCCTGGTAACATTCACCCAATCCCCCTTTCACTATTATTTTTATTTATTTTTATTACGTCATTCTAACTCTTTCTGAATTTTATTACGTCATTCATAACTGACCAATTTCAATTCATATCTCTATTTATTAACATTAATCTATTTTCAGTTAATTCATTACATAATCGTCTAATGTGTTCTAATTCCATGATTTCTAATCACTATCTCAATTTTCTGGAACTTTCCCTCCCAAACTCTATATATTCAAAACAAAAACTTTTATGACCTCACTAACTCTAACGAAATCTTTGCTACATTATGTTGCATATATTCATCCTTCATCGCCCTCTGTTGTATAAGTATGTCAATATCTGTAATAATGTTGAATTTCAAATATTTTAGGTTGTAAGCAGCTGATGAGAACCTAACGAAATAAAATGAATTCATATTATTCTGCACCAATCTTTGTTCTTGCTCTTTTTAAAATAATAAAGGGAACTATGTGTATGAAATATATTATAACTGACAAACCGAACGAATGGGTTATTACTGAAATAAACACAATTACAATTTTATGATGATAAGATGTAATTAACATATCTCAATAACTTCCTAAACAGATAATAACCGTTTATCTTTGAAATATCTGATTAAACTGATTAAACAAAAAGCAGAAATAAATAAATAACTCATTAAACCACATTAATAGGTCAAACTTAATTTTTTTAAACTGTTGTTTATTAAAATTGGATAATTCCTAGTAGCGCAATCGGGGACGAGCATTTCGTCTTATTTGTAACTTATCAAACAGATTTCCCTATATTGCAGTGTTAATTTTCACACTGAAACTCGAACCCAGTACTGTTCGTTTAAACAATCAATAAGTTATTCTTCGAACTACTGAATCCGGATAGTTAATAGCTCGTGAAAATGGTATGAATAAACCATTGCTTATGATATTAATTAACTAAAAGTATCCCGGAATGGATAAATATGCAAAACACTTGTATAAGATATTTTTAATCTGTGATTAACTGTCACTCTATATTTATCCGTAAATATTTACGACAATTCTTGTTCCCATGATATATATTTCGATTGCTGAATGTATTTTATGTTTTTCTAAAAGAGAGAGGAGGATCATATACAAACCATCATCGTAGTACTTCGTGAGTATCTCAATAATCAAGTTTGCGAGAGGTTGTAGGTATCTTATGAAGGCATGTAAGTACACTCTGTGACAGACAAAATTAATCAAAATAGATCTAAAACATATGAATTTTTGGTAACATATACACATTTGGAAAACTGATGACGCAGAAAATTAAGATCACCGTGCAACTATTACATCTCAGGGGTTCTTTAAAACGAACCCCTACCCTACTATAGATAACTTAATTTGTATTACCTCGTGTATTACGTAATCTTTGACTAAAAATTCTATCTGAGTAAGTAATAAGTTTGTTACTTTTCTCAGGCCACTCACATAGATTTACCTCGAATTAAATTATAAGCATCCCACAGACTGACTAAACTATACATTCGCATACTAATTATTTTAACACTTACAACTTCCAATAAAAGTTTCATTACTAATAAATACAAATATACAAATTGTATTTTAATCACACATACATTAAAAGTTTATTGAAGCAAGCAGTATAATATAAAATAGTATCATACATATCAATGTTTGAATTAACCACAAAAGATGTACAAGTATATAATGAAAAATATTTTTAGTTTACCTGGACCTTGAAAAGCCCATTTAAAACAATAATCATTACAGTCCACTAAAGGGAATGATTTGGTCTGTTGTGGTTGTCGAAAAAATGGATCATTACAGTGATTGTCTTCAACAGAATTACAACTGTAACATTTAATTCGTTGACCTTAAATTATAGAGGAAAAAGACAAAAAAAATGTTGCGAAATGAAGTCGAAATATCTGTACACTTATATAGGTATACTATAAATATTTACTGGTCAAGTGAATAGTATAACTTATTGACTTTCGTAAAATATATGGATTACAAACATAATAAAAATTAATGACAAAATTTACAAATAACGAAATAATCTTTAATCAATGGTGAAAGTCGAAGAATAAGCTGAACAAACTTCATTTACACATTACTTACTCTACACTGATTAAATTTGTGAAATTCATTGCCACAGTTCATTTTTCAATACAGACACTACCACTATATATATATATATACATAAAGTATGTATCCTTATAATGTTTACTCAGTTTATGTCCTGTCAAAAAATGACAATAAAATATAACATCAAGTTACAAGTTGTGCTACGCTTATCTTCCGACTAGCGTACAAGATATGAAATCATATCTTGTAATTCTAACATTTCTGAGAAAGTTTTATGAATTTTGAAATTGGTTAAAACAAAATGAAACAATTACGTATTTCATACAACTAAATCCCTTGATAAATTTAAACAGAACAAGAACAACAATATTTGAACAATAAAATGAATCTGTTCTATTTCACGATTTCTCGTCAGCTGCATATAACGTAAAATCACAATTATTAACACAAATATGGTTATCAACAAGTGTTTAACATACTTTAATTTGTGAATTTTAGATAAATGTTCGAAACTTAACGAAAACCATAAGAAGAAGAAGAATAGGGACACAAAATGTATGAATGGACATGGTCAAGATCGATTTATATTTATACATTGAAAAGTAATAACGCAAAGTAAAACGGATGTCACAGTTACTGTTAATCATTACCAAGATAAAGGTAATTAAATCAATGAGTGTTTTGGCAATCGCTCCACATGATAAAAAAATAAGCGAATATATCCACATCAATAGGATTGTATAAGAAATAAAAACAAAGATAAAAGTTTGGGGACAGGGCTGAAATGAAATTGAGAAATAATAAAGATTATCAGATGAACCTTCAATCACCATGATGAGGAAAGTCTAATCACACTCTCCTTCTGCATGTATTAGTCAGGTTGGAAACATTTGATAGCGATTGCATCTACCAAACGGAGTAAGACTGATGTTTTCTGTTCATTAATTATTTCGAATTCATTGCTTACATTCACTTCATGCCTACTATTCAAAGGGTGAAAACTACTTTGACGTCAAAATGTATGTATGAAAATGATATTTAAAACTAGTGTTGGGAAATAACATTATTATTTTTGGTTTCGGTCCTCGTCACGAACTAACATAAGCTATAACTCAATGAATTTAAAATTCATATTCTTATTCCAAACCATACTTTTGTTTTCCCTGTTTGCCGATCGATTAACCTAGTTAAAGTTGGTTGGGGGTACAGTTTAGTTCTACCCACTTTTGGTTTGGCTTGATCCTCAGTAAAAGCCCACAAATAGATATGTTTATGTGCTGACATACAATGAAACTTTTACATACTTAGTGGCAATGAGGTTAGACAGTAATTAGACTAAATAAAAGTTATAAAAATGAAGACTTTTCAGAAAGTCCTTTTTTCGACTATATCATTTTCTGACGCCGTACAATTGCATTAATAGATGATGTTTTACACGTAGTAGTCTAAAGTAAAATAAAAGGGTTTTACAAAAACATCAAAGTTGTCCAAGTACAGTTCAATCAAAATAAAGTTGTGTTGCATAATATAGTAGAGAGTATCAAAAAATCTTCAATTAATAATTTACAGATGGGAGATTGTTACTTAAACGTGAATAAAGTTTTCAAGTATTGAATAAAAAAGGTTGCATCATATAACAAAGTGATCAACAGTCATCAAGAGTTTACGTTATGTAACGGTTTTGAAAATAATATAAAATAATAATCTATGGAATAAAAGATAAATATTAATAATAATAATAACAATTATTGTTATTATTATTATTATAAATGGTAACTATAATTTATGAAATTAGAAGAGACGCTAAGATCATGGGAGAATAGGGTATTGTGAACATGACTTTTCTGTACAAAGAGTTTCGACTCGAGACGGTCAATTTCTATAGCGTTGACTGTGTATAAATTCCTCATTCAAACCTTTTCGAGCCAGTTTTTCTTACTTTGTAGAGGATTTTGAACGCAGATGCGTGTGGTGGGGTGTGATCTGAATTGACCATACATTTTGGTACTGATCCGTTGATTGTGTTGTATAACCCTTTAGATAATCATGCTCATAAGTATTTTTACCAAGTGCACGCATTGTGTGGCCAATACAACCTTTCCCACAGGGGCAAATAAACTGGTAGGTGCATATTAAGATGACCCAAAGCGGCAGTTTATCATCGACATATCCCTGAATAGGTTTCTTACTGGAGAAAACAGTCTGAGGCTCCGCTGAATTTAGTATTTTTCAAGAATCTATAAAGTTTGTTTCTTAATATCTCAGCTGCCATATTTCCCTTGAATTCGATGTTCAAGGATAGAAATTTCTTCGGAACCATGAGAGCTCTTCCGATTTGACTAGGGTGTTAGATCACTGTCAATGAACTTGGGTGAGTCATCCCTCAAAAGCGTACGTCGGATAACATTTAGCTCGTCGTTAATTGTGTCTTCAGTGCATATTTGTCTGGCTCTTGAAGATAGAGAATGAAGTAAATTTCTCTGCTTACTTAGAGGTACCAAAAACTAGAAGTTCGTATATTCACCGTTCCAGGTTAGATTTCTGTAGAATGGTCGCTGTAAAGATCCATATGATCTTCCTTCCAGTAAAACACTGAGGAAGTGAAATTCTAAGTTTAAGTTTGCTTCTATTGTGAACTTAATCGAGTGGTGACAATTATTGAACTCTTGTAGTATTTCATTAAACCTATCTTGGTCGAAGACATTAAAAGTATCATTTAGATATCTACATCCTCCGATTAACAATTGTTCCATGGATTGTGCATAAAACAGTCTGCTACAAGAGGTTCCAATACAGATCTTATCGCGACACAACTTATTTGACTGTAGAGATTATCGTCATAAGATCTAATCTCTTGCAAAAGTGTCTGCGATGTGAAAAAAATTGATCACTCAACTTAATCGCTCGTTAATATTGACTGCCCATTCTCACAGTGTGTTGATACACAAGTCTATCTCTAACCTTGGCACACTTCTTGTGTTTGCCGTTATTTATAGTAGTATAAAAGTTATTCGCCAAGTTATTACGACATAAAATGTTTACCGCAATCCTCCTTAATCTTTTATTTCCCAAAGCATTTAGGTGACGTCGTTGTTTTGGTTTTATGTTGTTGTCTGGTAGTCATGTGAGAAATAAAATATATTTTATGGGAAAACTAGACATTTGTCTTTGTTTCATACAAAACCTTCCAGTCGAACTGAACGATAAAATGCACCACAAAAATTTGTTTAATAATACCATACAACGGTTGTCTTGAGGTTTTGTGGAGAAATCAATTATAGAAGAGTGCGAATTTACCAACATATGTCAGATTCAAGAACGCGAACAAGAAGTTGAGAAATCGCCAATATAGTGTTTTAGAGCAGCTTTTATGTATTCCAATCATTTGAACGCAAAAATTTGGTTAAATAACAACACGTTTAATCTTGATGCGTGATAAAAAACGGCTACTTATTAAAAATGTTTACCTGGACAGTGGTCTGGATCAGCCGAAAATGCCATCTTCAGAGTCAGATGCACGCAGTAAACTATAAAATAATATTTTTATATTAAGACGAAAGTACCAAGTAATAACTGAGAAAATGTGACCATGATTACCCACACCCGCAGCTACTAAATAAAAATATAAACAACCCACTCTTATTGTCCATTCAAATAATGGTTCTATAAAACAAAACTTATTATTTGAAAAGTAACATTTTGTTAATCTCAACAAAAATTTTCAACCATAGTGTTTGTGGTGAGAGGAAGATTTTCAACTGAGTAGGTAGTAAGAATCACCACAACAGTGTTGGAGAGTAAACACTGCCGACAAAAGTCTGATTTTATAAGGATTAAGGCGTTTTCGCTCTCTTATAGTGACATATGGTTAGAAGTAAAAAGCTAATTAAGCATCTGTTCTAAAGAAGACAAATGACTCCAACGCAGTGGGTTTTATGCAATTACACTGTACAAGCACGATTTCTTAAAGCTCCTGTCCGATAGAATATTAAACTGCTTAATAAACTTAGGACCCGTAACAGCAAATGGGGCTCAGTGGACTTTATTTTTAGAAGCGTGATCCAACTAAAGAACTTTACAGCATTTGTGAACAGAACCTCAGATCATGAAGGTAGAGGAGTAGCATTTCCCGTCAAAAATCAACACTGTATTGCAGATGTCAAGAGAGCGTCAAGCAAACAAGTAACTTATAACTACAGGCGACACAACTACTTCAGTCGTAGACTGGGAAAGGCTAATAACGTGTTTTCTAGAAACTAAGGGAAGGTTAAATATAGTTAGTGAAATAAGTGTCTCTCATTCCATGATGAATGGATTCGTCAACCAGGTTTCGCTTAAAGTCCATAATATTATATTTCACTTCTAGAACATCTCGTAAAACATATATTTTCAGATCGATGAGCTAAAAAGAGAGAAATTCCGTTAAATTTGGTTTCAGAGCATTCAAGTACTTACATTAGATACTTAGACATTATCGGATAAATAAAGAAGCAGTGGAGAATCTAGTGTTCAAATTTTTGTGATCAGCATATGTGGATCCATTGATTTATCTACCTTCTCTTTTTGCTGTTTCGGTACGGTTCAAAACATTTTGTGATTTTCGATGAGCGGAAGCATAGTTTTTCGTCTGAACTAACTCCAATCATTCTGACTGTGTGTATTTGTGAGTTTGTATTTATCGTTATCTCAGTGAGTACGTTTGTCTCAGGATCGTCGGGTTTCTCGATACCAGAGGCCATCATATTGGCAGTTTGGGAGTCCGTTGGTTGATTGTGATGCAAAAATTAATGAACAGGAAATTAGAATTGATTCAAGAATTAAATAAACGGGTTAAATGATAGGTACTGAAGACAGTGTGAGAATACCTGAGTATAAGAATAGGAGGGAAAATGAAGATGATAAAAAGCAGGATAACGATAAGTTGATACGTAATAATGACAACAGTAAATAAGCTACAAGGCAGGCATCAGGTACAGCTGGTTCAAACAAGAGATTTTGCTCTCAGGCGTTGAGATTCTCAGGGATTCTTTTGAGGAGAGTGGTATTGATGTTCTCGTAGGATCCTCATGTGGGGAGTGACTTGGCCTAATTAACGTATTGTCTGTCATTATCACATAACGCATTATTCTCCCACAGCTCAGCAAGAATAATCAAAAGCTTTTGAATCTGTCTTCATAAGATTTATTTCCTATCCCTATCACCCATTCAGTTGCTGGCCTCTGTACTTGGTCTGGGAAATCGACATCTTGTTTGGAGAGAGGGGATAACATAACATTTTGAACTTCGGGGTGGGGCCGTGCCTAAGTTCTGAAAGGTTCGGAACGATTTTGGGTTATCTTCACATAAAGCGATGAGTTGAGTAGGCATCAACTGCGTCCACTACTTGGCTTACACTTGTGTCCAAGTTCTCTGCGGTAACTAACCTCAGATGGCGCTTCGAGGAGACAATCAAATAGTGTTAAAATTTTCAGTTTCTGATACTATCTGTTGATTGCAATGCTGAATAACAGTTTTTTGGACAGGATACTTGAGCTTGCACTTGACATTAGATAATTCACATTATGAGCAGTTGATTTAATTAGCTTTCGCGTTTCGGTAACCTGTGAAGGCTGAATGCACAGTTTCATACTCCCAGCTCTTAGTCGTAAGTGTGCCAACTGTAATACCATACTTACTTCATAAATATTTATCCGTTCTCTAGCTCCGCTATCTACCAGACATGTCGCTTGGGTGGCGCTCCAGAAATAGACTATTGTGAATAGCTTTACTTCAACTTCGCAATGTCGTATACGTTGGTAATCATCGCAATAATGGTTTCCGGAAGGACCGATAAACGGACACTAAAATGAAATCACCCCTCTACACTTCGTGGTTTAAACAATGGTATAAAGGAGGGGACGAATCCAAGAGCTATCATGCAACGATCGATAAGGATCGCCTTATCCGGTACTCATATAATATGGAATCCATGTTACCACTTGACATCATTTCAAATATGCAAGTGCAATATAATAATAATAATAATAATAATTTATTCTCAAATAACAGTTTGTTACATGAGGCATGCCAGTTTACAGGCAAGATCAAATTGATACAAATGATACAATATACACTGTAATAAATTACATAGCTGGGTTGATAATTTATAAAATATGAATGTAGATGGTTTGAATCAGTACCACAGTTGGCGCGCTTCATGAAAGTTGCATTGCGAATGTGCGACTGATGGTCAAGGATAGGTCCATTGAAGATATGAGCTTTTAGAAATCGCAGCCTTATGTCCCTTTGGGATATCCAAGGCTTTAAGGATGGTGCAGGATGAAGTCACCAGTTCCATATCTCAAGGGGGCTGAAAGAGGGAGCAAGTAAAAGAAAACACGAGAGGCAGAGTAGCCAATATTCACGAAGGAATGTTTAAGGTATGATTACTCAGTCTAATTTTCCTTTATTAAGGTATATGTTAAGAAAGAGCATTTTAATAGGTTAAAGAAAATAAGTGTTGACAAGGTGTGAGTGGACATACAACTGACAAATGGGGGCGATTCGGAAAAGAGCATGAGCCTTGCCATCTGATTATTTCAATTTCGAGTGAATTTTACCGCGTCCACTATTATTTACCTTCTCTTAGTGTTACATGCTGAATGTCTATTTTCCCAGTTATCTCATGTTTAGCTCTGAGAATTGTCGTCAATATCCAATGGCATTACACATCACATCCGTGAAGAAATGATTTAACGTACACATCAATGTACATGCTCATTGGTGCTAGGACTATATTTATCTCTTTCTACATTTTCGGTGTAAAATCTATCAGAAGAAACTCATTAGAGTGGCTTACTAGTGAGCGGGACACCTCCTAAGAAGAGGGTTCGGAATTTTGTCAGTATACAAACATCGTGATAAGTTATAGCAATATCAGAAAATATCAGTTTCACTCAACCCTATCACATAACTCTGGTAAACTTGAACTCGGTGCCATTGTCAATTCGTTTCGTACCTAAAAGCCCTTTTAACTGTTTCCTATATTTGCAGATTCAGATATCTGTTATCTTGATACATCTAACTGCCCGTCTTTTGCTGATGGATTGTTTACGCCCAAGTTGAAAACTAAACGGAATATTGTTTACTGCTAAATCAGAAAAGGATGAAAGCATAAGAACACAGAAACCAGATTTAATCAGCGGTAGGACAAAGATTATATGGTAGAAACTTTAATTACGATAGTCTAAAATAACAATGACGAGTATAAACAGTAATTATACTTCCAGTTATTGTTCTCACAGATTTTGAATTTCAATCAAGAATCGTAATAGCACTAGAAACAATATAACCTAAAATTGAGACAATATATGTGGAGATCCTACCTTGAAAAATGGAGTATTAGCACAGTTGAGCGGGATCCACGGTACTACTGATACTAGAAATAAATTAAAGTACTTAGCTTACGACAAAATATTGTTGTTAATGCCACCTCTATTTACTGGTTTCTTATTTATTTTTTTAACAGTGAACTCGAGGTAGTCTAAAAATTATTACAACATTATCAAGGCTAAAAATTCTGCTAAATCATCAGTTTGAGAATGTAGTAGGGTCGTAAATTGACAATGGCATCCAATATCAGTAGGCTGGATGTTAAATTTTCCATCCATGAAATGGGTTCTGTTATCGATCAAAAATATATTGAATATCCCTCCACGATTGAATATCTTCCTGAATGCTCTTTTAGTTACGCTTCCGCTTCGACTGTTCGTGAGCATTAATTCTACCCATTTAGAATATAATAATATGAGCTTAAAAGTAAGCGACAGTAATTCACGCGAATATATCGCAGTGATTCATAAGATTCGGGTCAATGACTCTAAGTAGATTTTTTGTGCGATAGATCATGTGAACCAGAGGAAGAGTTTTTTAATTTAAGACTTATATCAAAAACAGTCCAAGACACCAGAAAGTCTGACATCAAGTGAGTTTGTTTTCTCTGCTCCCAGATTGGCAGAGTAAAATTTGTCTAGTACTACAAATCTAAGTGTAGAGAGAGTTATTACCTTATCAATAAACCATAGAAACCTTCAGGACCTAGTGATATGTACTTTCTCACTCTGCCAAACTCGGGAAACCTGGGGTTTTATTGAAAATCCCAAACGGTTTTCACAACGGTTGAGGCACTTCTCAAGTACTTAAGAGTATCCTTTACAAGTCTTGATCTATTAACAGGTAATAGTTGAATTGGCATATGATCACCTTCCTTAGGTTGTCCTCCAAAGTATGAATGCTGATTAAGAAAATCCGCATAGGTGTGTTTTGAGTCGCTCGATAATCAGTGATGAGGTTATAAGCACCTAGTTCTAAATTCCAACTCTGAACCATGGCAGTAGTTGACTGAATAGACCTAGCTAGATTTTAAATAAATTTTAATGCCCGGTGATGAGTTTAAATACGACATTTTGCACCAAACAAGTGTTTTTGCAGTCATCTTACTAACCATACAATGCTTAAAGCCTTTCTTTTGGGCCTGACAGTGTCCTTGTTTGCCCCTGTCTAATAGTCTCAAAATAGAAATAACAGGTTTCCCATTTTGCTTTAATTACCCACCTGACCTCACTAGAGACGCATCCGTCGTGAGGATAGATTTTTCAGATAGTAAT